ATGCAATCCAAATAGAGGGATGTAAGGGACAGGAGGTTGTAGTTCGTTAACCGCCAGCTGTAGGGCTTGTTCACACCACAGTCAGTGTGCATTTCTGCATGCACGTTTACACACGTTTGTAATGCATTGCAGTGCCGCTTATTTCTTCCCCTTCCCTATATAAACCCAGAGGAGCTCAAATAAAATTCTTCTTCACCACTTTTACACACGTTGCATATTCCGGTGCCACAAAATCCATGTTGCTGTATCTTTTTTCAAAGCACCGGAAACTGTATGCAGTTGTGTGTGATAGGGAAACTAGAAAACATTGATGTTACTGTGCATGTTTTGGGCTGATTGGCTGCAGTCACTGTTTTGTGTATTCTGACAGTGGTGGGTGCCAACAGCCTGGCAGAGGAGATTCACCCATCCGCACTGTTTAGCATGGATGGGGGAATAGAAATGAGAAAACACATTTAGTGTATGACCAGCTTACAGGAACAACTGAAGAAATTGTAAAAAAGACAGTTCAAACCAATGTGCGCCCATACATGTATAGCTATAGCCTTTAAAGGAGAAGGAGAACTATGGGGTTAGGGCTTTTCCCCATAGTTCTCCTAAGGGTAACGGGAGGACACAAACTAGCATCCTCCCGTCACCCAAAGCTCAGTATACCGCGAGCTACAGCTCGCGTTATACTGAGACGCCGACAATTATGTCTGGATCCGCCCAGCTGCGTGAGTGACAGCTGGCTCTGCCTATCTAGAGGCAGAGCCAGCTGTACCCGCCCCCTCCCCCGTCCGTTCCGCCAGTCAGCTCTGGAGGATCGGAGCAGTGAGGGGGGAATCCAGAGAGCCTTGAGTGATTTTCACTCATCCTCATAGTTCTAGCCGACCTGTGACAATTAAACTGTCACAGGTCGGCTCAGTAGATCGGGAAGTGAGCGAACACATACCGGCGTCTGTCACTGCAGAGAGCTGTGACAGGGGAGTGACTGGATTCCCCCCTCCCCTGTCCGATCCTCCTGGCTGGCGGACCGGACGGGGAAGGGGGTGGGTACAGCTGGTTCTGCCTCTAGATAGGCAGAGCCAGCTGTCACTCACGCAGCTGGGTGTATCCAGACATAATTGTCAGGATCCGTTTCAGCTGCGGCATCTCAGTATACCATGAGCTGCAGCTCGCGGTATACTGAGCTTTGGGTGACGGGAGGACGCTAGTTTGTGTCCTCCCGTTACCCTTAGGAGAACTATGGTAAAAGCCCTAACCCCATAATTCTCCTTTAACAATCCATACAGTTTGTATTCAATGAGGAAGGCCTTAGTACTACATAGATGATGGTACAGCTAAAGCAGATTGTACAATCAGATTGTATAGTGTAAGGGTGGGCAACCTCGGCACTCCAGCTGCGGTCTCATGTCTGTGGCTGTCAGTCTTGAAATGGCTCATGGGACTTCTACAACAGCTGAAGTGCCATGGTTGCCTACCCCTGCTATAGTGTAGCATCACCTCTAGTGCAGAACTCCTGGGTGTGTTTTCATAATGTTATCTATTCACTTATTTCTCGAAACAAAATATGGCCGTTCTATTTCTTTTTTATGGACTCCTGTGTTTGACAAGTTGTAATTGCACTATAAATATATCCCTTTCAGTTAGATGAACTTTTATGGCTCAAGCAAGCTGTCAGTACATTTTCCTGCAGGTGTGTTGCAGAAGATTCGCTTACTAGGATAGAAAACAAACAGTCTTTGCCTTTCTTCATACACTTCCAAGCCAAGTAACTTGAAACCTTTCTTAACTGGAACTCCCAAAATAAAGCAAGGAGTGGAGTGCAGTGTATTAATTATAGACAATCTGCTGGAATGTCTAAATTTAGCTGCTGGGAGAGCAGAGATGCATTTTGTTAACTAAAGTTCTATTTTAACTTGATATGCTGTGTTTACGGCCTTCATTTTTCTTGTTTCCCTGTTAACATCCGGCCTTGTTTCTTGTTTCCCTGTTAACATCCCTACCTAACTCCGCTATGTCTTAGGCCCCATTAACTTGGGGTATTCTGGAATTCCTGTGGCAAGAACCTACAGATTTCTCCTGCACGAATCCCAGGTGTTTGGTTCAGATGCGCCCGCTGTGCCCATTGAAGCTATTGACCAGGTGACAGTGGCCGAATCTGTCAGCCTGTAATCTTACTTGGAATAGATTGTTGTCCCTGGACACATCTATCCTGCATCCAGCAACAGTCGTCTATCCTAAACCGCATGTAATCGTACATGAAATATATGATTATCCCCGGACGCATCTGTCCTGCATCCAGCAACAGTCATCTGTCCTAAACCGCATGTAATCATACATGGAATAGATTATTGTCCCTGGGCACATCTATCCTGCATCCAGCAACAGTCATCTGTCCTAAACCGCATGTAATCGTACATGCAATAGATGATTATCTCTGGACGCATCTATCCTGCATTCAGCAACAGTCATCTATCCCAGTGTTTCTCAACTTGTGTAACCTCAGGACCCACATTTGTCCTCGGTCATTAAGTCACAACCTAAGTTGCACTGCAATGGAACGCACACATTACGGTACTGCACATTCCGGTGTGGGCAATCAAACTGTGGGTGGGAGGTGGGTTTGTTGTGTTATTCAAATGAATGGCAACACAACACACCTTCCACACCATGCGAATGCATGGTACAGTGCATTAATCGCACGGGACTGTGATTAACGCACTATACTACTGTGAACAGGTCCTCAAAAACACTGACAGACACACAACCACAGACACAATCGCACACACTCACAGACATTTTCACACACGCATACACACTCAAAAAAAATTAATTTTATTTCATTTTTTTTAAGATCCACCCAGACTCCCTACCTTAGGAGAACTGGAGTGGATCCTCAGCCTGGGGTCCAGTATGGTCTGCTGTGCTGTAGAAGTGTTGGGAGCCAGAATGTGATGTCACTCCAGTCCAGGCACCTCCACAGGACAAGTATGGGAGCTCCCTCACAGCCGTACCCCCAGCTCACTCCACCTCAAGCTGACACTTGGCACAGGGCAACATATTTTGAATGGCTATTTGGCACGAGAACAGACAGTGCTGCACTAGGGGAAGGCTGAGGAGCCTCTCACCTAGAAAAGTGGAAGGCATGCAGTGACCCACTGAACATGGGGTCGCGACCCACCAGTTGAGAACCAAGGATCTATCCTAAATCGCATGTAATCATACATGGAATAGATGATTATCTCTGGACGCATCTATCCTGCATCCTGCAACAGTCATCTATTCTAAACCGCATGTAATCATACATGGAATAGATCGATAGATAATTGTCCCTGGATGCATCTATCCTGCATCCAGAAACAGTCATCTATCCTAAACCGCATGTAATCGTACATAGAATAGATTATTGTCCCTGGACGCATCTATCCGACATCCAGCAACAGCCATCTATCCTAAACCGCATGTAATCATACATAGAATAGATTATTGTCCCTGGGCACATCTATCCTGCATCCAGCAACAGTCATCTATCCAAAACCGCATGTAATCATACATAGAATAGATTATTGTCCCTGGGCACATCTATCCTGCATCCAGCAACAGTCATCTATCCAAAACCGCATGTAATCATACATAGAATAGATTAATGTCACCGAATACATCTATCCTGCATCCAGCAACAGCCATCTATCTTATATTGCATATAATCGTACATGAAATAGATTAATGTCACTGAATACATCTACCCTGCATCCAGCAACAGTCATCTATCCTAAACGACATATAATCGTATATGGTACAATGACATGTGGACTTCCGCTGACAGATGCGGCGCCTGTCACTCTGTCATTTACCTCAGTGGGTACAGCGTCTGCATCTGAACAGAACACCTGGGATTTCTGTCGCAAGAATCCATAGGTCCTTGCCACAGTAATCCCAGCCTATAGCTCTATTCACACATGAGCTGAGCATCTTTGGGGTTTTTTGGGGCTGATGTCACAGCAGATATTGCTTATCACTCTCACTGGATGCACGATCAATTCGTCCAGGGAGAGTGATTGACTCCTAACCACATGTAATCATGTCACATACGATTACATGCAGTGTGCTGGCGTTTAAATGCAGCGGCTGTCAGCTGATCATTAACCATAATGGGTGACAGCTACCGATTGTACACAGCAGATTAGGAATGCAGGAAAATACTAGTTCCTGACACGGGAATCGCTGACCACACCTAAACTTACAGGTGTGAATGGGCCCTTAAAAAAGAGAGAGGATTGCACTGTTCGTCAGGATATAATACTTAAGCTAGCCATACACAGCTAGATTTCTCTTTTTCAGCCTAAATAAGAAAAATCACTTGATTTCCTAATTTGGAATATTTACCTGCTGGGCTGTTGCATACCTGAACAGTGATTTGATGGGATGCAGTCACATTTCAACCCAGCTTCTTCCATTTTGTAATTGAGCTTTAATCGAGCCGGGTGGTGGCGACACAGCCAAAATATGAGCTGTGCATGGTTAACATTAGGCTACCCACAGACATAACATAATCATCATACAGGCTGGACGGTAGCAGTAAGGCTGGGTTCACACCTCAGCGTATTGGAAACTTGCGTTTTCTGCGCGTTTCTTACCGCACGGTTTTACCGCGATTTGCGGTAAAAGAAACGCGCGGAAAATGCGAGTTTCCGAGCAGGTATCCGGCTTTATCCTGATGGATACAGCGGGATAAGCACGTTAATACGCCCCAAAGAAGCTGCTGTACTTCTTTGCGCGTAGGGCGGTTTCCCACGCGTTCGTACTCGCGGAAAAACGCCCAGATGGGAACCATGCACATTAAAAATAATGGCATTTCCCTGTTTGAGCGTTCTTCCGCGAGTACGAACGCGCGGAAAAATGCCCAGGTGGGAACCGGGCCTTAGATTAGGGAACGATCATTGTTTGATACATTATACCTATTGCTTGAATTATTTTAGTCCTATTTTAGTCTTACCTTCTGCATTTTTTTGCAGGTTTTTCACAGCCGACTCAGACGTTCTGCTCAGAAGTGAATGCCTGAGGTTTTGTATGTGTAAAGTGTGCTAAAGTTTAATCTTGAAGGAATTACCAGGAATCAGTCATTAAGGATAATCTGAAAAATGGCCAATGTCGGGGCTCAGCTCGACAGATCTGAAGGAGAACAAAACAATGAGTTCAGTGATATCATCAAATCCCGATCCGGTAGGTTGTAAAATCAGTACTTTGGTTATGTGTGCTTTGAACTTCTTTTTGATTAATGACCTAAAGTGCAAACTTCAGCATTCCAGCTGTTGCCGGGCTGCTCCTTGAAAAATCTGGTGACCTGTGTTGCTGCCAGTTGTTTTTACTGTAGCTGGAAACATGAAAGCCTACGTCTAGCGGGCTTTTGCTTAAATATACCTTTAAGGAATCTATTTATTTTTAACTCATTGCAGTTCTACCAATAAATGGAGTAGAAATGACTTCTGAAATCATAAAATGACTGCTTTGAGTGCCAGCTTTGCCTGCGTAATATGGAGCAATAGCTTACAAAACTTTGTTAGGTCAGTATCCAAGCCTAAATTGGCCATATACTCTTCAAACTTCTCTTGTCTAGCCCATCAGGGCTAAACAGCTTATGTGGAGCAATCCCTGCTACCAGGTATTGTGTTCAGCAGCTGAATACCCGGACAGTTCCCGTATCTGATTGGATGCAGGGGCTGTTTGGGCAATAATTTGTGGATGGGCTCATTCAACAAAGGTTAGTGAAAAGTTGACTTTGTTTGAGCAAAGGGGTGCTGAGGGGTGCTGGCAGGACCACCCAGGGCTCGAATTTTGAACGGTTTATTTTATTTAGAAATTTTAAAGTTTTATTGAACCCCTTTGATAGTCTAAGATAGTATACGATAAGATAGACGCTAATCTAAAAGTAATCTTCCTCTCTGACGCCTCATATTATACCCATCCATTGAAAGGATTTCTTGCAAGACTGAAACGTGCAGGTCTGTATGATTGTTGTGGAGAAGATCTCTCTGGTTGGGTCATTATTTCAAGTATATCTAAAATCAAAACTTTTTTTGGGTAGAGTAGGGAACCATTTAACCCTGTTAGGTTTTGTTGTGCTGAATGTGGCCCAAGACTGAAACGTGCAGGTCTGTATGATTGTTGTGGCGAAGATCTCTCTGGTTGGGCCATTATTTCAAGTGTATCTAAAATCAAAACTTTTTTTTGGTAGAGTAGGGAACCATTTAACCCTGTTAGGTTTTGTTGTGCTGAATGTGGCCCATTTGGTAGATTTCACTCCACTTCTTGTCCAACAAAAAGTGAGAAGAGATCTGTTCAAAGTGAGGGAAAGTGCCATCTTAGACGGTTCCTACCTGAAAAAGTTGTTCCCATTGAATGATTTTCCCCCCAGTCTTGTTCTGACAACTGTAAAATGTTGGATTTTCCATCATTTTCTGTCCAATTCACACTAGTCATGAGGACAAATAGAGATGATCACAGAGGAGACAAATACTGCCATAAAAAAATAAAAATAAAACAAAAAACAGAAAACGTTGGCTTAGTGGTTAGCACTTCTGCCATAAAACACTGGGGGTCCCTGCTTTGAATCATTTCAAAGACATGCTGGATGGTTAATTGGCTCCTGTCTAAATTGGCCATGTATGTACAGTATGCTTGTGAGATAGGGTCATTAGATTGTAAGCTCCCTTGAGTGCAAGGATTTGATGTGAATGTGCAGTATGTAAAGCGCTGTGTAAATTGTGGGTGCTATATAAATACCTGTAATAAATAAAAAAACCATTGGCTTTAAGTATATTATAATATCTAATGAATATATTATTTTTGTAAGTTCACCGTGACCCCATAATCATTTATTTTCCCACATTATTTGTTTATTATGCTATTGTCAGCATGTTTTCTGCGTTGTTCAATAAGGAAAATGTGTTTGTTTAGTTTTTCATTTTCCAATGGCTTGGCTGTGTACTTTGAACATGGTTGTCTGCAAACAGATGTTTTCACAAGTATGTGTGAAGTTCGTTGGCTAGGGCGATGGAAATGTCTTTTTAGTACAGATGTCAACTATTTCATGCTTGTAACATAAATGTGATTTGTTCAAGAATGTCTATGCACAGAGATTCTTCGAAATGATAGTGTTTGTACAAGAAGGAACATTAAAGGTTAACTCCAGGATGTGCAAATATTGTCTAAGTAGAAGAGTCATGTGTATTTTTACTTGAATCTTGGTGTGCTCTGTGTATTTCTTCCAGATCTGTTCAGTAATCCACTGCGAACCATTGCCTCTGTGCAGGAGCCTGGAAGACCAGTCACTGCCGCTCTCTCTAGACACAAACGAGCACTTAAAGGAGAACTATGGGGTCAGTGTTTTTCCCCATAGTTCTCCTTAGGGTAACGGGAGGACACAAACTAGCGTCCTCCCGTTACCCTAAGCTCAGTATACTGAGACGCCGCACCTGGAGCGGATCCCGACGTAGATGACGGGATCCGCCCAGCTGCGTGAGTGACAGCTGGCTCTGCCTACCTAGAGGCAGAGCCAGCTGTACCCGCCCCCTCCCCCGTCCGTTCCGCCAGTCAGTGCTGGCAGATCGGAGCGGGGAAGGGGGAATCCAGCCCCTCCCCCTGTCACGGCAGAGAGCCGTGACAGGATCGAGAGGTGAGGGAACCCGGTATGTGTTCCCTCACCTCCCGATCTACTGAGCCGACCTGTGACAGTCTCATTGTCACAGGGCGGCTTAGAACTATGAGGTGAGTGGAAATCACTCATCTCATAGTTCTCCTTTAACCCTTGCAGTGCGGGGGTAGCCCCACTGCCAGGGTTAATAAAACATTTCTAGGAGTTCTTATTTAAGAGGGGGCATTTACAAAAAAAAACAGAACCCGGAGATGAGCTTTATAAAGCTTCTGGGTCCCATTGAGGAAATCCACTCACCCACAGCTCAGACATGGTTAGCCACACATCTCAGGACTGAAGAGTTAAAACGGTTCCTCAAAACACAGATGTCCTGCTATATGGGTTGCTTCATTCTAACAAAATGCAAGAAGTTTTTCTTGGGGTTTTGAATTGGTTTGTATGGTGCGTGAACATTGATAACCACCTATTACTCTAATTAAAAGTAAAAGGACTATGACTATTACTTAGTATTTATTACAGGTATTTATATAGCACCACAGCACTTTACATAGTCGCACATTCACATAAGTCACTGCCCTCAAGGAGCTTACAATCTAAGGTCCCTATCTCACATGCATACATATAGGGGTCTATTCACGAAGCTGCCGAAGGATCTAGCCGTAGCTTCGGCCGATCCTTCGGCTAGCTTCGGCCCCAGGACCCCTTCGGTTCTGTAGAACCGAAGGGGTGCTGTACGGGCTATTCACTATAGCCCGTACAGCTCCCGAACGTGGCCGAGCGGCTCAGTCGAGCCGAACGCATATGCCTCGGCTCGGCTGAGCCGCGCTGAAAGCCGAAGCTGG